GAATGGCTCCCTTTTTTATTATCTTCATTTCACCATATTTAATTTTCGGATTTGTTTCGGCAACTTTTGTGTATCATTTAATGCTTTTCATTTCTTTATTTTTTAATTTTAAAGAAAAAAATGTTAGTTAAAAAGTAAATCTTACAAAATTAGTTGAAAATTGATTCATTTCTTAAAATAAAATTGAAGGGAATTTGTGGAGAATCTGTTGGTTTTGTCCTTAAATTGGGGAATTTGACATGAATTTTCGGGGAATTTGACAAATTGGTGTTGGCAACGCAGCCATGTTGCACCGAAATTTAGTTTGCCGGCGACATAAGAATTAGAGGCGGCAATCACTATAAAACTTGCAACAAATTTTAATAATTTTGACGTACCTCTTTTTAAATACAAAGTATTGGTCGGATTAAATACGGAAAGTCAATTAAAATAAAGTAAAAGTATTATTTTTACGTTAATTATTTCTGATAGACTAATTAACTGTCGATCATAATTGCAATTGATTTGAACTATTAATTATTCAGTACCATTTCATTTCTATTGTCTTATGAAAATCAAAGATAACGATGAAATAGTGTTTATAATTATGTAAGTGAGTACTGAGTACCCAATTAGGTACGTTTATTAACTTCAATATAATTTTTGTAGTAAAGAACTGCTTGTTGCGTCAGGGTACAATTGATTGTGTAATTGTATTAAAAATGACAACCATAACTTCTAAATTCCATAATATGAAGATTAGTCACAGGGATAAGTAAACTTAGAAATAAAATAATCGTTGGCAATGTCATAATGGTTTTACGGTCTGTGTAGTAGCTCAGTGCTTCAAGGACGAATGCGTCGTGCACATTTGTTTTGGCGCGATTGATTTGTAATTTTAGTTTTTGAGACAGTCCCGTGTTTGACTATCACGTGCGCTAGTTCAATTATTTTGTTTATTACATTCTTGTTAAGGTACATCAGAATAATAAACATATACCTACAAAAAAGCATGACTCTAACTGTTCGCGCCAAACGCTGTTGTCGGAATCGACGTCAGAGGGCGCGCGGCTCGGTGCCATACCAGTTTGACAGTTGGATGTGTCGAGCGCGCGCGAGTGCAAAGTAGTCGTCTGCCAGCTGTGCTAACGCTAGCACACTGTCATTTTCGTTCTGGAACCGCGGAATAGTTTAGGCGTCTAGTAAACATCCTGTCTAGGATTTATAACGCGCATTCCTTGTTGGATAGCCTTTCCCGACTTATTGGGTCCGACTCAGAATCTGTATAAGTGCATTCGACAATATTAGCTATTGCGGCCTTTGATATTCTAGAAATAACTGTTGCTACGCGAAACGGTAGTGACTTTTGATCCGGACACTCCGTGTTCGATTTGTGCGTTAACCTTATAACAAACGAGAGTTAGTGGCTTCTGTAAGTTAGTTAATCGTACGATAGAGTTAATGGACTGTCATCGTGACGAACGAAGAAAGTGACTGTGGACGGCGCCGCGTAAGATTACCTTAATTTGGAGCGGTGCTGCCGCCCGGGCTGCTGCCGACTGCAAAGGTCTACTAAGGTCAATCACCATCAGTCACACCCAGATACACATCACAGCACCTTATTTCCCTTGCACTACACAACCACATGCGACCTGATCGAATCCTGAGGGAGCAGTCGCCTTGGATATAGGTAAGTAAGCTCCGTCTAATATTCTCCCTGTTGAATGGCCGTAGTATAGAACGCTCCCCCTTTATTGTTTAGATTTTCCACTTTGGTCTTAGGAGGCCCGACCTACGTCTGTTCGTCGAAACTCAGCTGAATGGGCCCCTGAGGATTTGACCTTTATGGGGGCAGCCGTAGGCCGTAACATTCTGGTAGCAGAGCGTGGTTCCGGGTTCGATTCCCCGGTCGATCCCGACCATAGTGTTTGATAAAAATTAAACAATTCTGGTAGCAAGGAGCGTTGGTTTAATTGGTTTAATTTGCCCGTCCGTAATACGTAAAAATATTTTTTTGTACGTAATAAATAATAAAATTATTTTCCTTTGTTGCTTGCTTATTTGGTTAGCGGGTAGATTTGAAAGCCGCGCCCTTTTAGTGCGCAAGCGGGAGTTTTTCTAGAAGTATACGTCATGTAGGTAGATGGATATTATCACGTAATCGGTTAATTATCGTTGTCGGATAGTTGTAGTGGATTACTTATCGAAGGGTCAATTTCCGAGCTAGGCATTTTTTGTTGATCGACTGTGATGTGTATCTTCGTTTATACTGTAATTTGTATTTGAACTAAAGAGTAGTAATTGTATTTGCGCAATTTGAATTTAACTTGATTTGATCGCACTAGTATTTGTTATTTGTCAATTTGATTTGTGTCTTTTCTTTTGTGCTAACTTGTATATATTGTTGTTACGTAATAATTCGTATTTGTGTAATTTCTATTCAACGCGTTTTGATAGGAACTGCATTTATTAACTGTTAATTTTTGTTGTATTTTTTGTTTGTTATCTTGTAATTTGTGCTCGAGCCGCATCGTAATTTGTATTTAATAGTGATGTCATCGCCCAAGCTACTGATCCGTTGTCTGTGGACTGAGTTATAGGTCGACCGGATAGGGTCCATAACTTGATGAAGCGGTTCGAGCAGGTGGATGCTCGAAGGGCCGCAGTGGAGGAGGCTTACGCTGAGCTCGAGGATTCGGATGTGGAGAAGGGAGTCCTGGACTCCTGCTTCGCGGACTATGAGCAGGGCTCACGGACGAGTTGATCGAGGCTGAAGGCAGGTATGCCGAGGAGGCGCGTGAGGTTCGGATGAGTGACCTGTCCGAGTCCTCTCTGAAGCAGCTTCAGCCGGAGCTGTTGGGACGACTCCCAACTCTGGACCTGCCAAAGTTCTCCGGGGTCCTTTCCGAATGGCTGACCTTCGTTGGTCTTTTCGACAGCCTAGTGGACGCCCGGAGTGATTTGACCCCGAGCCAAAAGATGGCGTACCTCCTGGCCTCACTGGATGGGGAGGCCCTGAGCGTCGTCGGCCACTTGAGATTGTCGGACGACGCCTACCAGACTGCTCGGGACCTCCTAGCCAGTAGATACGCCAACGTCCGGCAAATTGCGGACGAACATGTAAAGCAGCTTCTAAGCCTCCCGCTGCTTAGTGACCGGGCCAGACTGCGTCCAGACCTGTTGGATCCAGTCTTGTTGGCCTGTAATACGTTGAGGCGGCTGGATTTACCAGTGCTGTCCCGTCTACCTCTCGACCTTCGAATCCATTTTGAGGAGAGGTACGGCGGAGACGAGGCCTCCTATATTCCGCCCTTCTACGACCTGCTGCGGTTTTTGGAGGAGTAGTGCCGGCAGATCGAGAACGCGACGGGCACCGTTGACGACTTACGAGCCGTGCCCAGTGGGGCTGTAATTTTGAGGCGTTGGTTAGGTTTGCAAGATCTGATGGGGTGCCTAAGGTGGACTAGTTTGGTTGTAGATTCGGTCTTGCAACTTGCCGTCGCGGCCTTGTCCCGCTGACCGGTTTGCTCGCGGACCTAAATCCTTATGTCCGGGACGGGGGTTTGTTCGCGCCAAACGCTGGTGTCGGAATCGACGTCAGAGGGCGCGCGGCTCGGTGCCATACCGGTTTGACAGTTGGACGTGTCGAGCGCGCGCGAGTGCAAAGTAGTCGTCTGCCAGCTGTGCTAACGCTAGCACACTGTCATTTTCGTTCGGGAACCGCGGAATAATTTAGGCGTCTAGTAAACATCCTGTCTAGGATTTATAACGCGCATTCCTTGTTGGATAGCCTTTCCCGGGACTTATTGGGTCCTCAGAATCTGTATTCGACAATATTAGCTAGTGCGGCCTTTGATATTCTAGAAATAACTGTTGCTACGCGAAACGGTAGTGACCTTTGATCCGGACACTCCGTGTTCGTTTTGTGCGTTAACCTTATAACAAACGAGAGTTAGTGGCTTCTGTAAGTTAGTTAATCGTACGATAGAGTTAATGGACTGTCATCGTGACGAACGAAGAAGTGGTCCGGCGCCGAAGCAGTCTGAAGCGGTGCAGCATTTTGGAGCAGCCTGGAACTCGGCCGCTGCTGGTCGCCTATGCTTGCCAAGGCCCCACACATTCACACCTCACTGTACACTACTCGCCATCCACTATTACACACACTAACGGCCTGCCCAAGCCTTTGTGCGAAGTTAGCTTCGGATAATGGTAAGTACTACGTGTTTCTAGTTTTCTCCCATATTGTTTATTGTAATTAGGAAATTCCACGTGGCCATATTCTGGCTCCGTCCCTCTGCTGCTCGTCGATGGGCTTACTCATGGGCCCTAATCCCGTCACCTTGGTTGGGGCAGCTAGGGGCGTGTACACTAACCTTGTTAATATTTCATTTAAGTATTTTTTTATTAGCGGGGTATCGAACCAGGTATTTGGTTTATTTAACCTGTGAATAAAGTGGCTAGGTGGAGGAGACAAGCACAGTGGCAAAATAGTAGGTTAAGTAGATAAGTTAGGTATTTAGACAAGTGTTGTAAATTATTAGGTATTGTGATACCTTCTCTAGCTGTGGGCCGCGCGAATTCGACGTCCGGGCGTACACTAACCCCTAGTCAGCTGATGGTAATTCCACGGCTGGTTTTATGTTTAAGTATTTTCATGATTTTTTTATGAAATTATCGTTTCATTTAGCTGTACTAACATGATGGAGAATAAATAAATCTAATAAAACGTTGTGAAGAAATGATTTTTTTTTTCATCGGCGTCGATTTTATATCTCACCCATCATCAAAGGTATAAGTATAGTACTATCGTCTGTCTTCGTTTCCGGGAGCGTTTCACAAACACCCGGTAAAATTAGACTTTTATTGTTAATAGTGATGTCAACTATTCAAATGATTTAAAAAGTTAAAATATTGTATTTCAATAAAAAATGTTCATTGTTGAGTGTTACCTAGTTTGCTCGTATCTGAACTTAGGAGAAGAGGTGAATATTTATATGGTGTTGGGAGTAATAAATACTCACTGTCCATCGTTCTTGCCCAGCGGCTTGTCGTACTGCACGCCGATCCAAACTCCGCGCGCGCCGTCCAGCGGGCCGTTGTAGCGCACCGTGGCGCGGCGGCGCGGCTGCTGCGGCGCGCGCACCTCGCACCGCGCCCCCACCACCACGCTCGCGGCCAGCCTGCACACACGTACACACGTACACACACCCACACACGTACATCCTACTCTATAGCTGCCAGGAGAACTACTGCGGCGCGCGCACCTCGCACCGCGCCCCCACCACCACGCTCGCGGCCAGCCTGCACACACGTACACACGTACACACACCCACACACGTACATCCTACTCTATAGCTGCCAGGAGAACTACTGCGGCGCGCGCACCTCGCACCGCGCCCCCACCACCACGCTCGCGGCCAGCCTGCACACACGTACACACGTACACACACCCACACACGTACATCCTACTCTATAGCTGCCAGGAGAACTACTGCGGCGCGCGCACCTCGCACCGCGCCCCCACCACCACGCTCGCGGCCAGCCTGCACACACGTACACACGTACACACACCCACACACGTACATCCTACTCTATAGCTGCCAGGAGAACTACTGCGGCGCGCGCACCTCGCACCGCGCCCCCACCACCACGCTCGCGGCCAGCCTGCACACACGTACACACGTACACACACCCACACGTACACACACCCACACACGTACATCCTACTCTATAGCTGCCAGGAGAACTACTGCGGCGCGCGCACCTCGCACCGCGCCCCCACCACCACGCTCGCGGCCAGCCTGCACACACGTACACACGTACACACACCCACACACGTACATCCTACTCTATAGCTGCCAGGAGAACTACTGCGGCGCGCGCACCTCGCACCGCGCCCCCACCACCACGCTCGCGGCCAGCCTGCACACACGTACACACGTACACACACCCACACACGTACATCCTACTCTATAGCTGCCAGGAGAACTACTGCGGCGCGCGCACCTCGCACCGCGCCCCCACCACCACGCTCGCGGCCAGCCTGCACACACGTACACACACCCACACACGTACATCCTACTCTATAGCTGCCAGGAGAACTTCTGCGGCGCGCGCACCTCGCACCGCGTCCCCACCACCACGCTCGCGGCCAGCCTGCACACACGTACACACGTACACACACCCACACACGTACATCCTACTCTATAGCTGCCAGGAGAACTACTGCGGCGCGCGCACCTCGCACCGCGCCCCCACCACCACGCTCGCGGCCAGCCTGCACACACGTACACACGTACACACACCCACACACGTACATCCTACTCTATAGCTGCCAGGAGAACTACTGCGGCGCGCGCACCTCGCACCGCGCCCCCACCACCACGCTCGCGGCCAGCCTGCACACACGTACACACGTACACACACCCACACACGTACATCCTATTCTATAGCTGCCAGGACAACTACTGCGGCGCGCGCACCTCGCACCGCGCCCCCACCACCACGCTCGCGGCCAGCCTGCACACACGTACACACGTACACACACCCACACACGTACATCCTACTCTATAGCTGCCAGGAGAACTACTGCGGCGCGCGCACCTCGCACCGCGCCCCCACCACCACGCTCGCGGCCAGCCTGCACACACGTACACACGTACACACACCCACACACGTACATCCTACTCTATAGCTGCCAGGAGAACTAATGCGGCGCGCGCACCTCACACCGCGCCCCCACCACGAAAAAGCAAAAGCAGAGTGTTACAAGGCCTGGGCTGAAGCATCGCCGTCCCAGGATACTAGTGCACACAAAAAGAAGTACAAATCTGCCTCTAGGCCCTCTAAAGAGTTATCACTAAGGCAAAGTCGGAGCACATTGGGAGAATTGGCGAAAATTTAGTTCGCCTTCCTTCGGGAACTAGTGCGTTCTGATCCTGGAATTTTTGTAAGCCATCATTGTCATCTTTGAGATGGAGGATGACTCGCTGGCCCACGCCACAAAGAAGAAAACAAATCTTTTAAGTTCTGTTTTTGCGTCCAACTCGACTCTCGTCGACGGGGGCAACCTAACAATAACATACGTGTGAGTGCTCCATGCAATGTGCTGTTTACACAGCTCCCTGGACACTGTCCCTGGATGTCAACAAGTCGAGTGGGCCTGATGGAATCCCCCAAATTGTGCTTAAGACGTGTACTCAATAGTTGACGCTGATTTGACACTTTGGGCGTCGTTCCAGGCTCATAGAAGACAGCCTTAGTGCACCCGATCCCTAAAGAAGGTGACCGCTCGAACCCGTCCACCTTCAAGCCTTTGGCTATATTCTTTAAAATAATTCCGTCACCTCCTTATTGTCCAAAATAATGGAATCCATTATTAACTGTCAGAGCAGAGATGCATCTGCATGAGCTGGCAGCATGCAAGATCATTAGCTGATTAGTGATCATCAATACGGTTTCCGTCGAGGTCGTTCAGCTGGTGGTCTTATTGTCTGCCTGACTTACCGACGGGCGGAGGCAGTCGAGGGGGACATAGCGAAGACTTTCGATGGGGTTTGGCACAAAGCGCTTCTTTTGAAGCTTCCTTCTTATAGAGCATCCCGAGAAATTATGCAATTGGATCACTAGTTTTCTTACAAAACGGACTATAAAGGTAGTATATGGTGCATGCTACGACTAAAAACCTGTGAATGCTGGTGTTCTACAAGGCTGCGTGCTATTGCCTACCCTGTTCCTTCTGCATATCAATAATATGTTGCATACTAGTAACATTTATTGTTATGCAGACGACAGCACTGGCGATGCTTCATACACAACGGCGGTGCTAATATTTCTCGGGAATCTGTCGTCGAGTGCTGGAACAAACTCGTGTCTGAAGTCGTGTCTTTGTTGAACAAAGTCTCGGATTGGGGGCGACTAAATCTATTCCAGTTTAACCCCCAATAGACACAGGTTTGTGTGTTTACCGCAAAAAATACCCGTTGTCGTATCTCCTCAATTTCAGGGCACTCTCCTCGTTGCATCAGTCAGCATCGGAATCCTTGGCGTCGACATTTTGAGAGACGTACACTTTCGCATTCACTTGGAAGGGAAGGCAAATCGGACATCAAAAACGATTAGTGTGTTCAGTAGATCAAGACGGTATTTCATGCCGGACCACCGCTTGCAGCTTTACCAAGAGCAGGGTCGGCCTCATGTGGAATACTATTCTCGTCTCTGGGTCGGGACACTCCAGTATCAGCTACACACACATACACACACACTCTCACACTCTCTCACACACTCCCTCACACACACACTCTCACACACACTCCCTCACACACTCTATCACACACTCTCTCACACACTCTCACACACTCTCACACACACTCTCACACACTCACACACTCTCTCACACACTATCACACACTCTCACACTCTCTCACACACTCTCACACACTCACACACTCTCTCACACTCTATCACACTCACTCACACTCACCCTCACTCACTCACCCTCACTCACTCACTCACTCACTCCCTCACACACACGCACGCACGCACGCACGCACGCACGCACGCACGCACGCACGCACGATTGCACGCACGCACGCACGCACGCACACACAATAATTAAATATTTGTATTATTTCACAATGCTGTGTTAGCCCCTACTTTAATGTATGGTCGTGAAAGTAGGGTGTGTCAGTAGAAGCACGAGAGTAGAATAAATGCTGAAGAAATGCGTTTAAATACGCCCGAGAAGAACCCTACCACAGCTAACAAAACAGATGATGACCTTGAAACGGCTGAACCGATTTTGATAAAACATGTCTAAGAACCACCGCTAAAAAATCTGCTTTTAAATAAAAAAAACTGCACCCAAATCGGATCGCCCGTTTAAGAGCTAAAGTGCCTCTTTTTGCGTCGGGGGTTAAAAAAAATTCTGTTTAATACTAACTTTGCCTCCTCTTCAAGCTCCTGCTGCAGTTGCTCCTTAGATTTGTTCATTTCTTCTTCATTGTATTTGCCCAGTTTATTTTGTTGTAGATATGACCTCAGTGTGTCACCCTTCTTTTGATAATCTTCTTCAGAAAGTTGGAACCTACATAATATTAAAAAAATTAACAAATAATGTAACTACATCTACACCAAACCTATTCGATTGAAGTGAAATTGTAATGATGTTGACGACGATAATAAAAACTGGAATATTTACAGAAGCTATCTTTTGCACTCCTTCATCAGCCCATAAAAGTCCATAGCTAGACATGGACCTCTCTTGTTGTAAATAGGATTTGTTTCATCACGCATGGCAGAATGATACTATCGCAATACCAGATGTGTTGCACCTTTGCTCATCACCGGTCTGGTATTTTATAAGCCTAAATAAGGTGGGTTACACTGCCATTTATCCAAAGATATAACATGTTTCTGGTGTTTCCCTTTGTATACTCTTATGTCACTCATAGGATCAAATGGAGTGATGGATTCTCTTACGCCACAACCACACAGCAATCTATTACACAAACACAAACACTCACCACTCACGCCTGACACCCAGAGGGGTAGGCAGGGACTACGGACTTCCATTTGGCGCGATCCTGACACACCTCTCCTCCTTTACATCCATATATCTACGCATACATGCTCGTCGGTTAAGGGTACTCCTAATCTGGCCCATTTTCAATGTATCGCCGATTTGGTCGATAAACCTTCGTCTAGGGCGTTCCTTCCCGACCCTGCCATTCACTTCTGCAACATAAATTTGCTTTATCACTCTTTCCTCGTTCATTCTTTCTATATGACCAACCCACCAAAGCACTCCTTTCTTAATCCTGGTCACAACGTCATCTTGCAAACCACACATTTATCACACTATTACATAGAATTACATAGAACACATTTAAAGTGCCATAAGTGTACATACAAACACCTCACCTAAAACTTCAATACCTGCCACATATTATTAGCCACAAATAAAAAAGCAGTGAGAACTATGTATCTGAATATGCTCCTTACCTTTCATCACTATCAGTAGCAGCAAAATCTTTGACAAGGGTGAAGTTGTCAATTACATGTACTCTCATACCATCATCAATCGAGTATGAACTAAGCAGGGCACTATCATTATCAAAGTCACAAACAAATTTGTTTTTAATGTCAAACAACTTTAACTTCATAGTTGCAGCAGAACCTCCAGTCACAAGCTCCAATTTTTTCTATAAAATATAAAGAAACAGAATAATTTATTGATTTAAACAAGCTACAATAATAGAGGAAACAATAGTAATAGCTCATTTGAGACTTATTATCATTTACTTCTATAATTCTATTTTAAAAAGTAGGTATGCAGCTTGTATTGATGGTAATCATAGTGTGACTGCTGAGATATGCTTGATTCAATTAAGAAATATGTCATATAAAATATAGAAATACTTAATATTATAATCTTCAACAATCGGAGATTAACCGGGGAAACTCCGGTGATCGTATTACATCTTAAAATAATCTTTTAATGTAATAAACATTACACAAATAAAAGAAAGATTCATTAATCAATATTTTAATTACTTAACTACATTTATTACATCTATTTACTACGAGTAATTTGATTATTTAAAATGAGACTAATTATTTTGGTCATTAACTCAAAGCATTCTTGTCCATTTATGTGATTCATTTCACTAGCTACTAGCTTTCCAAAGAGTTCGTTGCAATGTGCATGAACATTTTCTTCATTTTCAGTTTGTGTTCCTGTTTCATTTTTTGTGACAAGTAATATTTATTGCGTTTTGTAATATTTGTAGAACCCTCTTGTTTTTCATCTGAAAATGGAGTCATCCTTTGCACATATTCTTCAAATAGATCTAAATAGAAAAAAAGTTAATTAAATTTTAAAAAGGTGGATTGTACCATACGTATTAAAACTACATACCGATGAAATTAAAATCATAAACTAATTTAACTTACCTTGAGTTTCCATCTTAAAAGAATTTTAAAATTAATTGACAGTAGAACTGCCGCACAAAGAAAACTGCCCCAAGCACCACCAAGCCCAGAAGAAGAAAACATATTAAAAGATATGGTGCTTTTGCTAGATATATTTGAGCACGCCAGTCATATGATAAGTGGAGACCAATAACCAACATCCAGTTTAATAATATCTATTATTTATGGGCTGTTCGATAATATTCAAAGTTTGGGCCCCAGAATCTCCACTACGGTTGGAGAAATATTTTTGGAAACACTTTTGAAAAATAAATTGGCTGCTAAAGAAGCTGTGAACGCAGAAATTAACAACATTATCCGGGTCAGAAACATTCCTCAAAGCACAGAAGTCACTTTTCTTTGGATTTGCTAGGATGGAACGACTTTCCATTGACGTCCGTCGAGTTTGGTGTTGATACGTATTTTTACAGAAAGATTACATTTTTATAAGCACACACACAAAGTTTCAATATGCGGAAACACATACTTATTGAGAAAAAAATATTGAAAATCAAATATTTTTGCAATATTTATTTCAATTCCTTCCATGAAACTGACGCCATTTTTTATTATTATTGTCAGTAGGGATGTCGATTCTTTCAGAAAAAGATCGATTTTTTTAAATGGATTCGAATTGTAAGCTGTATCGAGTAATATGTATCGATTCCCAAAAAATCGATTTCTGAAACATCTATATTTTTTTTATGTTTGCATTTATAATGTAAATATAAATCCATTTTATGAGAAAAAAATTCCTTTCTTAATAAAAAAAATAAGGGAACTGATTCAGAAGGATTTCTGTATCTATTTTGAAACTGCTACGTCTCCGGCGCTGCGGGAAGAGCAGCCTCTACGCCTTACAAACCGCCTAACAAATCGCAGGCATCCTCCTCGGCTCCGCAGCTTCGGCGACCTGCCTCAGCCGCTCCGACTCATCCGCTGCGTACGATTTGTTACAGCAGGCGGAGGCTGCTCCCCGTACGCGCCTCCGGCTCTTTAAAACCACTATAGGGGTAGGATAGACTCGTACCAGGTGGAGTCGGGGTCAATCAATCCGGTTCTTTAACATAAGTTGAACCTAACCTATTTTTTTTTGTTATCTGCCCTAATGGGTACTGTTAAAATAAAACAAATTTCAATAAGAGATCATTTATCATGGTATCTTTCTTGTTTTTCATAAAATTTATTTATATTTACATTATAAATGCAAACATTAAAAAAATATAGATATTTTAGAAATCAATTTTTTGTGAACCGATACATCAGCTTACGATTTGAATCGATTTAAAAATCGACCTTTTTCGGAAAGAATCGACATCCCTACTGACGTCGACAATGACATTACAAAATGGCGCCAGTTTTACGGTAGGATTAGACATAAACATTGCAAGAATTGCCGTGTAGTGGCGGTTAAGAATATCCACTACCCCATATCTTCCCGTGGGTGTCGTAAAAGGCGACAAAGGGAAACAGGCAGGAGATGGGCAGCAGCATCTTCCTGGTAACGGCAAAAATACAATAAAAAATTGCGGTTGCCAACCCGCTCGCCAAGCGTGGCAACTATGGCAATATACCCCCCCAGATGAAAGTTACGAAGAGACGGCCCCCAGTCTCTCTCTTGCTCTATTACCGGGAGGGCGACCATCTGTCCCAAGGAGGTGTCGGATTTATCGTCCACAAGTCTCTCGTTAACAACGTTGTAAAGATTGAGAGTGTGTCGACGAGGGTTGCGTACCTTATACTCAGAATCACCAAACGGTATTCGCTGAAGGTCATACAGGTTTACGCACCAACCTCGGCACACCCCGATCAGGAGGTGGAGGAAATGTATGAGGATATCTCTAGAGCCATGCATTCCTCCAAAACCCAATATACGGTTAATGGGAGACTTCAATGCAAAACTAGGCACAAGAGAGAACGGTGAGCTGAAAGTGGGGAAATTTGGAATAGGGTAACGGAACCCAAGAGGCCAGCAGCTGGCCGACTTCATGGAGAAAGAGGGACTCTTTATGATGAACTCTTTCTTCCAGAAGCGGCCCCACAGGAAGTGGACTTGGTCGAGCCCCGACGGTTCGACAAAAAATGAGATTGCCTTCATTATGACGACCAGACGACAACAGTTCAGTGATGTCTCCGTGATCGCGAGGGTGAAAACTGGTAGCGATCACCGAATGGTTAGAGGCACACTGAACCTAAACGTTAAGTTGGAGAGGTCTCGTCTAATGAAGTCAACGCTCCGTCCCCCTCGTGCTCTAATCCAAAGTCCCGAAACCTTTCAGCTCGAGTTACAAAACCGTTTTCAGTGCCTAAAAGACTGCAATGAAGTGGACGATTTGAATGACAAGCTCGTGGAAACTGTCCATGCGGTCGGAGCTAAGTTCTGCAAGACCCGCCGCAGAAGAACACAAGAACTCTCCGATCACACTCTTAATCTCATGGCTGTTAGACGAGAGATGAAGCTACATTCTTCAACAGATTTGACAGCATACAGGCAACTGAACAGACAGATCTCCAAATGCATGCGGCGGGACTTACGCAACTTCAATACAGCTCGTATTGAAGAAGCGATCGAGCGGAACCAAGGCTCCAAAGTCTTTGCCAGAGATCTGTCTGCCAGAAAGAGCCAACTGTCAAAGCCGAAGACCGAATGTGGCAGCATCGTTTCCGGGGCACCTGAGATTTTGAGTGAGATTGAGAGGTTCTATGGGCAGCTGTACACGTCATCGTAGGAGCCGCACGCAAGTGTGAGTAACGATCCAAGAGCGAGTCTTATCCGACATTATTCCGATGATATCCCGGACGTCAGTCTGATCGAGATTAGAATGGCTCTCCAGCATCTTAAAAACGGCAAGGCCCCAGGCGAGGATGGAATTACAGCGGAGCTTCTGAAAGCAGGTCGAAAACCGGTACTTGAAGTCCTTCAGAAGCTCTTTAACTCCGTCCTCCATGGTGGCATTACACTGGAGGCGTGGAGCAGAAGTGCGGTGGTCTTGTTCTTCAAGAAAGGCGAGACAACGCTTTCTTGAAGAACTACAGACCGATTTCCCTTCTGAGCCGCGTCTACGTGCTGTTTTCTAGAGTCATTACGAATCGTCTCGCGCGCAGACTAGACGACTTCCAGCCTCCCGAACAAGCCGGTTTCCGAAAAGGCTTTAGCACCATAGACCACATACATACCCTTCGGCAAATTGTACAGAAGTCCGAGGAGTACAATTTGCCACTATGTCTGGCGTATGTGGACTATGAGAAAGCCTTTGATTCCGTCGAAATTTGGGCGGTGCTGCAGTCCCTTCAGCGATGCCAAGTTGACTGTCGGTATATCAAAGTGTTGAAGTGCTTGTACAGTAGGGCTACGATGGCTATCCGAGTACAGAACCAGAGCACGAAACCTATCCAATTGCAGAGAGGTGTAAGACAGGGTGACGTCATATCCCCGAAACTCTTTACCGCTGCATTGGAAGATGTTTTCAAGCTTCTGGACTGGAAGGGATACGGTATCAACATCAATGGCGAGTACATCACTCACCTTCGATTTGCCGACGATATAGTCCTTATGGCAGAATTGCTGGAGGACCTAAGCACTATGCTCAATGACCTCAATAGTGTTTCCCAACGGATAGGTCTTAAGAGGAACATGGACAAAACAAAGATCATGTTTAATGTCCATGTCACACCTATGCCGGTAGTTGTTGGGAACACTAAGCTCGAAGTTGTTGACGAGTATGTTTACCTGGGACAAATAGTCCGACTAGGTAAGTCCAACTTCGACCGAGAGGTCAATCGACGGTTTCAACTCGATTGGGCAGCGTTCGGGAAATTACGGCACATCATCTCGTCAGGTATACCTCAAAACTTGAAAACGAGACTGTACACCCAGTGCGTGTTGCCAGTGATGACATATGGAACTGAGACGTGGTCCTTCACTGCTGGCCGGATGAGGAAGCTCAAGGTCGCTCAGCGAGCTATGGAGAGGGCTATGCTCGGAGTTTCTCTGCGTGATAAACTCAGAAATGAGGATATCCGCAGTAGAACCAGAGTGACCGACATAGCCCAACGGATTAGTAAGCTGAAGTGGCAATGGGCCGGCCATATAGCTCGAAGAACCGACAACCGATGGGGAAGAAAGGTTCTCGAGTGG